GCATAATGCCCTTCTTTGTCTTTTTTGATCTTTGTTGGTTTAAAGTCTGTTTTATCAGAGACTAGGATTGCAACCCCTGCTTTTTTTGGCTTTCCATTTGCTTGGTAAATATTCCTCCATCCCTTTATTTTGAGCCTATGTGTGTCCTATCATGTGAGATGGGTCTCCTGAATACAACACACAGATGGGTCTTGATTCTTTATCCAGTTTGCCAGTCTGTGTCTTTTAATTGGGGCATGTAGACCATTTACCTTTAAGGTTAATATTGTTATACGTGAATTTGATCCTGTCATTATGATGCTAGATGGTTATTTTGCACGTTAGTTGATGCAGTTTCTTCATAGTGTCATTGAACTTTCTATTTTGGTATGCTTTTGTAGTGGCTGGTACCGGTTTTTCATTTCCATGTTTAGTGCTTCCTTCAGGACTCTTGTAAGGCAGGCCTGGTGGTGACACAATCCATCAGCATTTCCTTGTCTGTAAAGGATTTTATTTCTCCTTCACTTATGAAGCTTAGTTTGGCTGGATATGAAATTCTGGATTGAAAATTCTTTTCTTTAAGAATGTAGAATATTAGCCCCCACTCTCTTTTGGCTTGTAGGATTTCTGCAGAGAGATCCGCTGTTAGTCTGATGGGCTTCCCTTTGTAGATAACCTGACCTTTCTCTCTGGCTGCCCCTAAGATTTTTTTTTACATTTCAACCTTGGAGAATCTGACAATTATGTGTGTTGGGGTTGCTCTTCTTTTTTTTTTTTTTTTTTTTTGAGACGGAGTCTGGCTGTGTCGCCCGGGCTAGAGTGCAGTGGCCAGATCTCAGCTCACTGCAAGCTCCACCCCCCGGGTTTACGCCATTCTCCTGCCTCAGCCTCCCGAGTAGCTGGGACTACAGGCGCCCGCCACCTCGCCCGGCTAGTTTTTTGTATTTTTTAGTAGAGACGGGATTTCACTGTGTTCGCCAGGATGGTCTCGATCTCCTGACCTCGTGATCCGCCCGTCTCGGCCTCCCAAAGTGCTGGGATTACAGGCTTGAGCCACCGCGCCCGGCCGGGGTTGCTCTTCTTGAGGAGTATCTTAGTGGTATTCTCTGTATTTCCTGAATTTGAATGTTGGCTTGTCTTGCTAGGTTGGGGATGTTCTCCTGGATAATACCCTGAAGTGTTTTCCAACTTGGTTCTATTCTCCCCATCACCTTCAGGTACACCAAGCAATCATACTTTTGGTCTTTTCACATAGTTCCATATTTCTTGGAGGCTTTGTTCATTTCTTTTCATTCTTCTTTCTCTAATCTTGTCTTCACACTTTATTTCGTTAAGTTGATCTTCAATCTCTTATATCCTTCCTTCTGCTTGATCAATTTGGCTATTGATTCTTGGGTATGCTTCATGAAGCTCTCGTACTGCGTTTTTCAACTCCATCAGGTCATTTATGTTCTCCTCTAAACTGGTTATTCTAGTTAGCAACTCGTCTAACCTCTTTTCAAGGTTCTTAGCTTCCTTACATTGGGTTAGAACATGCTCCTTTAGCTCAGAGGAGTTTGTTATTACCCACCTTCTGAAGCCTACTTCAGTTAATTCATCAAACTCATTCTTGGTCCAGTTTTGTGCCCTTGCTGGGGAGGAATTTCGATCATTTGGTGGAGAAGAGGCGTTGTGGTTTTTGGAATTTTCAGCCTTTTTGTGCTGGTTTTTCCTCATCTCCATGGATTTATCTACCTTTGATCTTTGATGCTGATGACCTTTGGATGGGGATTTTTTGTGGGTGTCCTTTTAGTTGATGTTAATGTTACTGCTTTCTGTTTGTTAGTTTTCCTTCTAACAGACAGATCCCTCTTCTGCAGGTCTGCTGGAGGTCCACTCCAGACCCTGTTCATCTGGGTATCAGCAGCAGAGGCTGCAGAACAGCAAATATTACTCTCAGCTCCTTCCTCTGGAAGCTTCATCTCAGAGTAGCACCCGCCTGATGCCTGCCAGAGCTCTCCTATATGGAGGTGTCTCCCAGTCTGGAGGCACGGGGTCAAGGACCCACTTGAGGAGGCAGTCTGTTCCTTAGCAGAGCTCTAGCACTGTCCTGGGAGATGTGCCACTCTCTTCAGAGCTGGCAGGCAGGAACATTTGAGTCTGCTGAAACTGCACCCACAGCCTCCCCTGTCCCCAGGTGCTTTGTCCTAGGGAGATGTGGGAGTTTTATATATAAGCATCTTACTTGGGCTGCTGCCTTTGTTTCAGAGATGACTTGCCCAGTGAGGAGGAATCTAGAGAGGCAGTCTGGCCACAACAAGGCAGCTGTGTTCCACCCAGTCCAAACTTACCGGTGGCTTCCTTAACACTGTGAGGGGAAAACTGCCTACTCAAGCCTCAGTAATGGTGGATGCCCTTCCCACCACCAAGCTCAATTGTCCCAGGTTGGTCGACTTCAGACTGCTGTGCTGGGAGCGAGAATTTCAAGCCAGTGGTTCTTAGCTTGCTGGACTCCATGGGAGTGGGACCTGCTGAACAAGACCACTTGGCTCCTTGGCTTCAGACCCCTTTCCAGGGGAGTGAACAGTTTGTCTTGCTGAGGTTTGTCCTGCTGAGGTTTGTCTTGCTGAGGAATGAGCCACCACTGAGGTATGAAAAGGAACTCCTGCCGCTAGCTCGGTGTCTGCCCAAACAGCTGACCAGTTTTGTGCTTGAAACCCAGGGCCCTGGTGGTTTAGGCACATAGGGAATCTCCTGGTCTGTGGGTTGCAAAAACCATGAGAAAAACGTAGTATCTGGGCTGGATAGCACAGTCCCACCTGGCTTCCCTTGGCTAGGGGAGGGAGGTCTCCGGCCCCTTGCACTTCCCGGGTGAGGCAATGCCCCACTCTGCTTCTGCTTGCCCTCTGTGGGCTGCACCCGTTGTCTAACCAGTCCCAGTGAGATGAACTGGGTACCTCAGTTGGAAATGCAGAAATCACTGCCTTCTGCATTGGTCTTGCTGAGACCTGCAGACCAGAGCTGTTCCTCTTCAACCATCTTGCCAGATGCCCCTGGCAGATAATTTAACTCAGTGGTAGAGCATATGCGTTCCATGTAATAGGTTACAAATTCCATTTCTGAAATCTCCACTGGCATTTTGTGGGACGTTAGCACTAAATAAATATTTGCTAGAGTTAGTTTAATTCAGGTCAGTTGAAGCTACATGAACTATAGAATTGTGTTAGATTTGATTTCTTTTGCTGGCTGTGCCACAAACTAACTCTAGGTTCAATAGCAAATCACTGGATTTCACTGTATGTCATTTTCCTCATTTGTAAAATAATTTCTGTCCCATTAATAGCTCAGACCATTATGTAAGCTTTATCTTTTCTTCAAAGCACCTTTATTTAATATTCCTATTTAAGAGCATCAATGATGCTTTTTCCTTATATATTATTAAAATTATATATTAATATGTTATGTATTTGTATATTGCTTTCATTACAAATATACTTGTTCAGTTAATTATTTTCATTTATAGAGTCCTTAATACTTTTCATAATATTTTTCTGTCCTTTATTATTGTATTTTTATTGACATAAAAGATTCTTTAATGATATCAAAGAATTAATTGGCTACAGAAAAAGTAGGGCCACTTAACCACAGGGCAAAATTAAAACAGGGACATAAAAAAGATGTGACAAAAACTTGAATTAATTTATTAGTCTATTTACCTCGGAGCTTTTCAATCAGATTTCTGTTTTAATTAGATAGTATGTAGTTAGTAGATCACATGGTGGGACATACACATTCTGGCCTAAAATACAAAGTGGTTTTGTATGTGTGTATGTGACAATTTTGATTTAAAGGTTAATTGTGTTAACTTGTCTCAGGAACCATGAATTTGCACATTATCTAATGTGCATTTTAAGGAAAGTAGGAAGTCTAAGAGTACAACACTATCTTTTGGGATTGACAACAATGAGAATTACCATGCCCTTTTTGATGTATCTTTAAGTAAAACTCTGGCAAAGGTAGTTACCTGAACTAAAAGGATAAAAGGATTCTTGCCCTAATGTGACGTTTCTTACGGGGTTTTTTTTTTTTCCCATTGTTATATTCAAGTCAGCACGTCAGTTTACTAAATACCTATGTAGCTCTGTGCTAGAATATTAGGAAGAAAATACTTTCATTATTATAAAGAATAATCATGGCAGTCATAATATTTTTGCTGGTCTCATCATTACTTTTGTGCTATAGTACAAACATTCAGGACACGGGTAAGATTAGTGACCTTTATCCAACGTTCCACCAAAGTTACATGGCCAATAAATGACAAAATTGTAAATGGAATCTATGCTGCTTATTTCTCCTTGTGGCACTCTAATTTATAATAATTTATCACCCTACTTTCCAGAAAGGAAGAGCCAGAAAAAAATTGTCATTTATTTGTTGACTAAATGTTGATTGAACATTTACTATGTGTCATAACTGTCCTAGAAACTGAGTTTGTATGGGGAGCTAAATGACATGATCTCTGCCCTCCTAAACTTATGAGTAGAAACGGGAACTGAAATACACTATTAATAATGTCTCTCATGCTGACATCTACATTTGCATATTGCAGTTGTTTTCATCCGAGTTGTATAACCAAATTACCCACCTAACTTTGTGCAAGTACAGATATCCAGACTGCCTTTGGAGATTCAAATTCAGTATATTTGAACTAAAGCTTGTGCATAGATGTGTTTAAAAAGCTCAACAGGTGATTCTGATGCATAGCAAGTATTAAGAAATCCTAGTGTATCAACTTGTAGCCCTTACACTACTTATATTGTTTTATTTTATCTGGATAACAACCATTTCTAGTAGATACTACTATCCTGTAACCACAAGTTTTACAAATTAAGAAACTAACGTCAACAAAATCATGTCCCTCATAAATGGCTAAGTTAGATCCAGAAACTGTATACTCTAACTCCCCAGAGAGAAGTCTCCTTAAAAAAAAAAAAAAAAAAAAAACTATGGAAAAGTAAACTGGGCTTATCTTTTATGTTAAGGCTGAAGAAAAAGATGAATTACTACACTTTTTCCAAATTGTGACTGATTCTCTCTTCTGGCTTTTGGGAGGCCATGTTGAACTTATTCAGAATGGTAAGAGAAAAGATTTTAATGTAACTAATAGCTATTGTAGAATCAACTGCTAACAGTTTGATCTTTTTTCCCAAAAACAAATGCCACATTAACTGTGCAGATAACCTCACTGAAATGAAACCATGTTGAAATAAACTCACAATTTTTAAAAATGGATATTCCAGTTTTACATAGCCAACATTAACAATGTGAATATTAAATTAAGGAGAATACTGTTGAAATAAAACTTTAGCTTTTTCTGTTTAGCAAATCTAAGATGAAGACAAATGATAATTTGAACAGTTTATTCCTGAAAATAACTTTTAAGTTTAAAAGATTGCAGTCAGTGTTTTAGATGTATTGTGAGGGAAATTCCTATGTTCAGGGTGGATATGATTTAACTCATATAGTCTAACTATCCAAGTAAGAGTAAACTTTTATTTAATGACCTTTTAGTGAACTTGGAAGTTATAGGATATTTCTGTTTACATTGAGAGATTTAAACATGTATGAGTTTTATGTTTTCTTAAGACCGAAAAAATAATTCTTAGTTACATTCATGGCTCTCTTCCTAGAAAAATTTCATCTAATATAAATGTAACACTCTAAGAATATTTTTTTAAGTAATACTTGAACTGAAATTTTACTTTTAGCTTTTCTCCTCAGAATCATTGCATGCACATAAGTTGAAGAGTCAAATAGTTCTATAAGGATCATTAAAACATACACACAATCCCTGGCTCTCATGCCCATTCCATTTCCCATTTTCCAAAGGCAACTACTTTCAGTTAGTATAACTAATACCTTGGTAGTTATGCTCAGTTATTGAGTATGGAGTGGAATGGAAACTGACATTTGTTAGAAACGTTCCCTGTTGTAGGATATTTTACATTAGCTCATGTGAGAGCTATTTCTAGTTTTACAGATGAAGAAATAGTTTCTAAGAGGTTAAGCTACTTGTATAAGTATCCAGTGCTAAATCGTTATAACTAGCTGCTCAGAGCTTAAAGATTACAAATCAATAAAAGGAAATTTTTGTAGTTAATGTATTCATTATTATATAAAACAGTATGTCACAAAATTAAATTTTTTAAGGATGTGAGCAACCAATTATAGTCATCTGTGCCATTTCCATTTCCTTATATTCTGTCTTTGCAGAAAATTTGTTTTTATTCACTGAAATTCATTGATAGAAGAAAAAGATTCAGATTTAGGATATGTTATTTTCTATTTAGAGAGAGATAACAATAGATTCTTACCTTAGTATTTATGCCTATTGTCTGACTATATTCATAAAAATGAAATGACTTATTTATGGCTATGTAAAATTGCCATGAATTTTACATCTTAAAATCTTCTTTATTGTAGAGTCTACAAAGTCAGAAAGTTTAGCAGAAATGGTCATGCTTTGATTTGGTTTGAAAAGAACAAAATCTTTCTTTGTTATTGTAAAATATTTGCTTTAATCTTTCTTTTTTTTTTCTTTTCCTTTAGTACTACAAAGTGATCATTTCTTACATTTACTGCAAGCTGACAATGTCCAAATAGGATCTGCAGTCATGATGATGCTACAGAATATACTACAGATCAACAGGTTACTTGGTTTTCACAAAATGTTACTGTTTTTTTAATCAGAAGCATTACCAATTTTATTCCAATTTTGTTAAAATTGACTGCATATGACTTGTATATAATGTATATACAAGTTCATAGTACATATACTTGTATATAATGTATATATAATGTATATACAAGTATAGAGTACATATACTTGTATATAATGCTGAAGCTCCATCACCATTGTCTTTCAGAAAAAAATATAAAATACTACAAAAGACTAGAAATGTATTATTAAATTGATACCTTATCCCAGAGCTTAAGATTTTAGCTCAAATCTCAGGCTTAAAGAAGAGAATTAGTGTGATATCCGAAGAAAAATATTGAGATCACAACAAAAAATGTTTAATCACATTTATTGAATAACTTCAAGCTTGGTATTTTTACAGATGCTCAAGAAGGGTATAAAAGAAGCAATTGGCAATTATTCAGGGTAAAATGGAAGGGCAGTGTATACACAATTGGAATAATCCATTCTTTCAGTTTAGTATGAATTTATTATGCAGCTGCTGTGTCTGTCATTATAATTATAGAGTTGATTAAGATATAAACCTTATCTTCAAAGAGCTTACAATAGAATGGAAAAGACGGACACACAAACATCATTGTATTATAATACATTGTTACAATATTAAAAGTGACCATAAATGTTAAAGGACCTTGTAATCCAAACTGAGGGGAGATGCTTCTGGAGAAGGTAATATCTGAGATGAAACTTCAAGGATGGTATATTGGCCAGGGAGGAAGAGGAGAAAGAGAAAGCAGTATTTCCAGGCAACGTAAGCAAAAATACAGAGATAAGAAACAACATGCTGAGGATGAAAAGTAGGTACAAATTCATTATTGTTGGGATTTAAAGTTCCATATAGGGAGGTGGCTAGCAAGCTCGGCTGAGACTCAAAGTCATGAAGAATTTATATGCTGTGTTAAGGAAATGAAGTTTTATCCTATAGGCAACGGGGACCATTGAAGATTTTTAAAGTAGACGAAAGTGGTCAGATTACATTTCAGTTTTGTTACTCTGGTGACTATGTGAAGGAAAGATTAAGGGGAAGAAAACTCTAGACAAGGCCGGGCGCGGTGGCTCTGGCCTGTAATCCCAGCACTTTGGGAGGCCGAGGCGGGCGGATCACAAGGTCAGGAGATCGAGATCACGGTGAAACCCCGTCTCTACTAAAAACACACAAAAAATTATCCGGGTGCGGTGGCGGGCGCCTGTAGTCCCAGCTACTCAGGAGGCTGAGGCAGGAGAGTGTCGTGAACCCGGGAGGCAGAGCTTGCAGTGAGCCGAGATCGCGCCACTGCACAGATCACGCCACTGCACTCCGACAGTGCGAGACTCTGTCTCAAAAAAAAAAAAAAAAAAACAAGAAAAGAAAAGAAAACTCTAGACAAAAAAGGCAATCATACTAATCCAAGTGAAGTAATGATATCTTGTCCTTGGGCATTGGTACCTGGGATATGGAGTTTTTAAAATAATGAATTAGGCTGGGTGCGGTGGATCAAGCCTGTAAGCACAGTACTTTGGGAGGCCAAGATGGGCAGATCACGAGGTCAGGAGATCCAGACCATCCTGGCTAACACGGTGAAACCCCGTCTCTACTAAAAAAAATACAAAAAATTAGCCGGGCGTGGTGGTGGGCACCTGTAGTCCCAGCTACTCGGGAGGCTGAGGCAGGAGAATGGCGTAAACCCGGGAGGTGGAGCTTGTAGTGAGCTAAGATCCGGCCACTGCACTCCAGCCTGGGCGACAGAGCGAGACTCCGTCTCAAAAAAAAAAAAAAAAGAATTAAAATCATCAAGACTTTACTGATCAAGATGGAATAGTAGGGATGCATTTATCCTCCCATCTGAAAAAAAGGACAAAAACATGAAACATAATTTTTAAAGAAACTGGATATCAGTCAGTGAAAGAAAGTAAGCCCAGAGAAAAAGGAATAAACAAGGTGAGTCTTACAATGCTCTAACTTACAGTATTGAGAGAGTTTTCAGGTTGAAGTATAGGCAGAGGCATCCTAGCAAGCTTGAGTTGAAGCAATAGAGCCCAGAGTCTGGAGAGAACAAGATGACTAGAGTTCACAAGTCAGAATACTAGAGAAGAGAGCTATACACATAGAGAACCCCAGAGATCTGCAGAGGGTATCTTTCAAGTATTAAGTAGAGTACTGATCTGCACATATATGTAAGGAACTACCCAACGCCAGGGAAAATAATAATCCAAAAGGACTAAAAGGAAGAGTGCAAGGAGCTCACACAGGGCCAGAAATAGTACCTGTTTCCAGCAGCCAAACTGGAAAGTCTCATAAACAATGGGTCATTGGGTAGAGTGTTCAGGAAGGTTTTACCCCAGTAGTGAGGAATAATTCACATTAGAATGAGCACTATTCCAGATCATAAAAGCAAGACCCAAAAGGGTCAAACTGTTTCCAAGTAACTTAACTGCATGTGGTTATTGAACCTGGCTGTATTTAAAATTTTTTTTTTACTGTAGGTTATACAAAGGTAGGAAGTTCACTAGAAATCTTTCGATTTGGCTTTTAAAAGGGTGAGAAAAATCCCACCTGTGTCATCATAGAATATTTGCTTTGATGACTCTTTTTTTCTGTTTCTTTATTACTGCAGAATAACTATTTCTTGCCGTTACTACAAACTGATAGATTCTGCAGTCATGACTATGCTACAAAACATACTACGATTCAACAGGTGATTTGATTTTACTGGTACTGAAGTACTGGGCATGCAAATAAACAAGAAAACAGGATCTAAAATGAGAAGAATTAGTTAATCAAGACTGATACATATGTTGGCATTAACAGACAAGGACACTAGTTATTATAACCATATAACCATATTCCATATATTAAAAAAGTTGAATACAGACATATAAGCCTCAAAGTGAATTTCTAGAGATGAAATCTACAATATCTGAGATGAAAAATACACTGGATGGGATTAACAGCAGATTAACATTACAGATTAGTGAACTTTAAGGCATATCAGTAGAAACTATCCAAAATGAAACAAAAAAGAAACAAAAGGAAATAAAAGCATGTCAGTGAACTGTGGGACAACTTTGAGCAACCTTACGTAGGTGTAATCAGAGTACATAAAGTAGGCAGTAGGGTCACAAAAAAATGTGTGAAGTAATGGCTTAACATTTTCCAAATTTGATGAAAACTATAAACATGCAGATTCAAAAAGGTCATCAAACCCCAAGGGCAATAAATATGAAGAAAATTCTACATTGAGGCACATCATAATCAAAATGCTCAAACCAGTGATAAAGAGAAAAATCTTAAAGGCAACCAGAGATGAAAAAACATTATATAGAGAAATAGAGATGAAGATGACAGCAACTTTCTTATCAGAAACACCACAAGTAAAAAGACAGTTGAATATTGAAAAAGAAAACTGTCAAATTAGAATTTTATACTCAGCAGAAATATATTCAAAAGCAAAGATGAAATACTTCTTCAGAAATCATTAGCAGACCAACACTACAAAAAATATTCAAAGAAGTCCTTCCACCAGAAAGGAAATTCATCTACACAAAGAAATAGAGTATCGGAAATGGTGATTACATAAACATATAAGATAGTTTTTCTTATATTTTAATATATCTATAATATATTTGCCTACACAAAAATAATAATGTACTTGAGGAACATATGTATAAGTAGAATGTATTCCAAAAGGGCATGAAGGCTAGGAGGAGATAAATGGAAGTATACTGATGTAAAGCTTTTATACTGTACATGAAGTGGTATAATATCACTATGATAAGTGATAAGACTGTGATAAATTGAAATGTATACTTTGAACCTCAAAGCAATGAAGAAAATAGCAAAACAAAGAATTTACGTCTGGTAAACCAACAAAGGCAATAAAAATGAATCATTAAAAAATATGCAATCCACAAGAAGGAAGTAAAAAAAAAGAACAAAGGAGAAACAAAACCAAGTGGTAGATTTAAACCTATCTATATTAGACGTAAATGTTGAAAAACTAAAGTTAAAAGACAGATTGACAGATTGGATTTAAAAAGTACAAACCTACTATATGCTGTCTACCAGAAATGCACCTTAGATATAAAGACACAAATAGGTTAAAAGTAATGGGGTGGAACAAGATATACCATGCTTATACTACAGAAAGTTGAAGTACCTGTATTAGTATCAGATAAAGTAAGTTACAGAACAAAGAATATTACTAGTGCTAAAGAAAGTTATTTCATAATCAGAAAAAAGTCAGTTCATCAAAAGGATGTGTTTATTTACCTAATAGAGTTTTAAAATACACAAGCAAAAATTGACAAGAACTACAAGAAGAAATCCTCAATTCGAGCAAAAGGTATTAATATACCTCTTTTGATATTTAATAGAATAAGTAGACAAAAAATTAGTATGACCACAGAAGATCTGAACAGTAATATCAACCAATTTGACCTGATTGACATTTTACAAACATTCTACCAAACAGTACAGAATACATGTTCTTTTCAAATGCAGATGGAACATTTACAAAGAAGGATACATATTCCAGGCCATAAATAAAGTCTCAAGAAACATAAAAGGGGCCAGACACAGTGGCTCACGCCTGTAATCTCAGCACTTTGGGAGGCTGAGGTGAGCAGAGCACTGCAGGAGTTCGAGACCAGCCTGGGCAGCATGACAAAACCCCATCTCTACAAAAAGTACAAAAAATTAGCTGGGCATGGTGGCACGTGCCTCTAGTCCCAGCTACTTGGATGCTGAGGTGGGAGAATCACTTGAGCCCAGGAAGCAGAGGTTGCAGTGAGTTGAGATCACATCAATACACTCCAGCCTAGGCGACAGAGCGAGACCCTGTCTCAAAGACAAGAAAAACATAAAGGGATTTCAGTTATACAAAGTATGTTCTCTGGCCTCAACGGAATTAAGTTGGAAATTCATACCAAGAAGATCTCTGAAAAGTCCCTAAATATGTGGGAAATAATAACATTCATCTAAATAATTCAAAAGACAAAAGAGAAATCAAAAGTGAAATTAGAAATTATTTTTAAATGAATGGAAATAAAAACACAACATGAGAATTTCTGGGGAAATTCTTAATTAAAACAGAATGATATTTAGGGGAAAATTTATATCACTAATGTCTATATATTAGAGAAGAAGAAAAATCTCAAATCATTGACCTCAGCTTTCCCCTTTAAGAAACTAGGAAAAGAAGAGGGAATTAAACTCTAAGCAGAAGAAAGAAAATGATAAAGGTTGAGCAGAAATCAATAAAATAGTAAGCAAAAGTGAGAGAAAATAAACCATAAACTGGATCTTTGAGAAGACTGAAGTTCTTTGAGAAAGCAAATTAAACCAAAACTGGCTCTTTGAGAAGAAGAAACCTGTAGCAAGATTAAGATTAATACGGAAAGGAAAAGAAATAATACAAATGACCAATCTCAGGAATTAGAGAGGTAACATTGTAACAAAGCCTGCAGATACTAAAAATATCACAAGGGAATAATATGAACAACTTTATGCTTATAAATTTAACAACTTAGATGAAATGGACAAATTGATTGAAAGACACAAACTACCAAAATTTACTGAAGAAGCAATAGAGAACCCAAATATATACCCAAATATAGATAGCTATAAAGAAAAATTGAATTTGTAGCTAAAAACCTTCCCACAAAGAGAACTCCAGGTCTGGATGGCTTTTTCACTGGTAAATTCTATTAAACACTTCAGGAAGAAATAATAATCTTAAGCAAACTTTTCTAGAAAGTCGAGAAGGAGGAAACACTGTCAACTCATTCTTTGAGGTCAGCATTATCCTGATACAAAACCAAACAAAGACATTATAAGAAAACTACGCATCAATGTACTCATAAACATAGATACAAATGTTCTGAACAAAATTTTAATAAGTCGAATTCAGCAATATATTAAAAAGTTAATACATCGTGAATCAGTCTGGTTTATCCCAGGATTCAGGGCTGATTTAATATTCTAAAGTCAGTCATTGTAACTTATGTTAACAAGCTAAAAAAAAAAAAAAAAAATACCATCATATCAGTAGATACAGAAAAAGCTTTTGACAAAATCCATTATCTACCCCTGATTTTAATTTTTAAAAAAGGCCTCTCGGCAAAGTAGTAATAGAAGGGAACTTTCTCAGAGAGCAGATCGGTGGTTGCCTGGGCATAGAATGACAGGGAAGGCAACAAGGGAGGAACTACAGTGAAATACAAGGAAGCTTTTAGGGGCCATGAATATATTCATTTTCTTGTTTTATATTGGTGAAACAGGTCAAACTGATGAAATTATATGCTTTACATGTGTACAGTTTGTTGCATATCAATTATATTTTTAAAAAGCTATTAAAAACAAAAATTATGAGGACTTGGTAAATGTTTTGATATGGGGTAGGTAAAATAAATGGTGCAGTCAGATATGATACCAAGTTTTCTGTATTGAGTGATTAGACAGAATATATGTATGTATGTAGGATATATAAGGAGTTGGTTTTGTGAGACAGATGATGAATTCAGTGTTGGTTATGTTGAGTATAGGTAGTTCAACAGGCAGTAAAAGTAAGTATCTACATAAAGACTTATACACAAATGTTCATTGAGCTTTATCTGTAAAAACCAAGGACTAGCTATAACTCAAATGTCCATCAGGTGAATAGGTAAACTAACTTCTGGAAGAGGTGGGGACTAGAGTTACAGATTTACAAATCAGCTTATACATGGTAGTGAAAAACATGACAGAAAGTGAGATTGATAGGAATTATGAATACAGTGAGAAAATAAATGACTTGAAAATGGAGTCTTGGGGAATAACCTTTTAGGGTTATGTTGGGGAAGTGGAGCCCATAAAGACAAATTAAAAAGAATGATCGGAAAAGTATGGGTGAAAAGTAGAGGGGAGACCAGAACTTTGTATCACAGAAGCTAAGTAGAAAGTATCAGATACAAACAAGTCTAGGAAAAGAATCACTCATGATATATATGTGACTTGACATTTGGGAAGTTATACTGATGAAATGAACTTACCAAGGATAGTATAGTGAAATAGTAAAAAATGAAAACTAGATGCAGTGGTTTGAGAAATGAGATATGAGGTAGTGGCGTCAGAGAAGTTTGGATTAGAAGAGAAGCAGAGAGATAAGATGGTAGTGGTATAGAGAGGATGTCTTTAAGATTAGGAGGTTGAAGAGCATCTAAAAGCATTTAAACTACTATATTACATTATAGCACAAACTCTTGGTGGGATATGGAGTAAAGATATGATAAGATTGGGATAGGGATATCTGTAGAAGGCTTTCTGAGATGAGCATATTTTTTATCTGAGTTTTGAATGGTGTGATGACATTGACTGATGGGAAAGGGTGAGCATCCTAGGCATAGGGAATAGCATTTAAGAGACACAGGGGCACAGAAGTAGATGTCACAAAGATTCTCACATATTTTAATTGGATAACTTTATAAAGTCTTTCAACCCAGAGATTTTTACATTTAAGATATGTTGCTGATCTCTTTTCTCTTAACAAAATTATTTTAGTAACTACTAAAGTATAGTTTTCAAAAAGCTCAAACATGAGTCTTATACAAATATAAAATTTGACTGCTCAAAATTTTATTCAACTCGTTAATGAGGGAACAAGTAAGATATTTATACAGGTTCAAAGGAGAATTTGAGGAAAATAGATTTATGGAGTTGGTTTGTTGAAGGAATATAGAAATAAATTTGCTGATAGATTTTTAAAAATTTGCTAATAGGAAAATATGACTTATAAAGCAATGTAGCCTTTAGAATTACCTTTTCTACTGGACAGAAATAATTTGTATTGCTTTGAATAAGAGTCTGTTTACATTGCTCTTAGATAAGAATCTTTGGCATTGTTTTCTACCAGCCAACCTCTATTTTTACAGAATTGTAAAATATTTTAATAGTGAGTAGAAAATTAAACAGAGGTACATATGCCTAGAAAATCACATACTCCTTAAGGGGGTAAATAAAAGGACACTCACTAACCTTTTTCTTTTGACTATTTCTAAGTTTTAGATAATTTTTCATGACATCAGTAATATAAGATGGGTTGTTAGTATAATAAAGGAAATACCAAGGAAAGATTTTAAGTTTCTCCTATATTAAGCACATGGTAGAATTCCTATGGCATTTTTGTCTTTGTACATCATTTAACAATTAACTGTGTACATGTCTTGATTTCACTTTTATCATTGCCTTGAAGCTTTTAAATTATTTATTATTTAGTATTTTGCACATTTATCTTTCCTCCTTGATTTGATTGCAAGCTTCTCTAAGGAGAGGGCCTTTGGCTACTTTGTATTCTCTATTGTACCTAGCACACATGGTACCTTGCACATAGTAGGAGTTCAATAAATATTAAGTGACTGAATATGATATATTCTTGGAACCAACATATATTTTAAAAAGTGGTTATATTCTTGGATCAGGACACAGTCCGGCATCAAGTTACTGAATCTTTTATTTTAAATTTGTTGTGATACCTGTGCATCAATTAGTAATGGCACTTTTTTTTTATTTTGTTCTATTAGTGGTGATTTACTCAGAATAGGAAGAAAAGCCCTGTATTCAATTTTAGATGAAGTTATTTTCAAGCTTTTTTCAACTCCTAGTCCAGTCATAAGAAGTACTGCTACAAAACTCCTACTGTTGATGGCTGAATCCCATCAGGAAATTTTGATTTTACTGAGACAAAGTACCTGCTACAAAGGTAGTGCATTCGTTCTTTCTTTACTTGGGATTCTCAAAAAGAAACTTTTTATTGATGGTTTATGAAAAACAAAATTCTTATATTTTAAAGAGTTGATAACTATGTAGATAAAACTCTACATAAAAATTGGCATCAATTTTTATACCAATTCAGGGAAAAAAAAAGTCTTTATATAATCAAGCTATCTTCATGTCACTACAGATAGCAAGTGGAAGATACCTTTCTGATCAGGTTGCAATGAATATTTACTCCCTCTCTGACAAAAAGGTTATGTGTTAGATATACCATATAGTATAGTAAAATAATGACCAAAAAGATCAGTGACCTTAGCAAGACCAGCTTTAGTGGAGAAAATGGAGCTGTGCTTGAGAGCCCAGTAGCCCTTATGGTATTTTGAACTATCCATAATTACTCAACACTGTCTTTCCTCAAAAACAAACAAAAAAAAATTGCCTTACCTCCAAATTCAAATACATATGTGAATTAAAAGTCAGACATTTTGAGGATGAAAGGAGTAAGTGTATTAACATTCTTATATAATAGCTTTCATTTAATTGAGCATTCACTGTGTGTCAGGCACATTCTATATACTTTACATGCGTTAAAATATTTAATCTTCACAACAATCCTATGGGATAGGTATTCTTATCCTTATTTTATAGATATAGAAACAGAGACATGGTAATTTGTCCAAGATCACAAAGGTAGTATATATATTTTTTAATTGCCAAGCAAAGTTATATGTTATCTTTGTTTTATTTCTTTGATGACCAGAGCCATATATGTATTATAACCTATTTTTCTTATTCAACATGGTCAGAAAATGGGATTCTAGTCCATTAAATATACTTATTAATATAGGGTGATACTGTATGGGAATTTTTAAAGGTTAGAATATAATATGATGTATTTAATACCTAAACTACTAGAAAAGTCTTTATCATTCTTGATGATTTTGAAGACATTGTAATAATGTACCTTGCATTAGTCATCACTGGGGGTATTGTAGGAATAGAGAGGAAAAGTACCAGTAATAGAGTTCTTTAGTTGATACTGTGCCAGATAGACATTTCCAATTCTGTAATTCAATTCCTAAAGAAATGTGAATGTCCAACAGAGTCGTTATAAAGAATTTTACCTGAATCCTTCTCCCTTTCTTTGACTTATATCTCAATAGCAGAACTAATTCAGGTTCCTGAAGATATTTTACAATTATTAATACTGCTGAGAACTTGGGTCTTGAAGAGAGTATAAGGCATTAAAAGATCCATACAGTGGTTTCCCCAATTATACACTACAAGGCAATTTTACCTTATGTATTTATTTTGAATACACACATTATAATACACCATTTCAAGTACCTGGAAATGGTACTTACTTTGTACCTTTTATTACTGCTATGTATTATTTTGGCATGAAAATGTACTATCCTAGTGTTGTAGCACTTCACCTATAATGTTTTCCCAGGAACCTATTGATTTGCCCCAAATTATATATGTTATCATATATTTATATTTAATCATCTTTTTCAACTAATAGTGACTAATAATAATCTGCATGAGTGCTTCCACAGGACAAGCTTTTACTGAATATGTGTCTGTAGTAATTTACCTTTAAAATGTTTCCACTTAAAGTATTTATGTTCAAATAAAAAAATTTATCTCTACTCTTTGATTTACCACAATGATTCCATCCTCCTCCTTTTTTTTTTTTTATTAAAGAGATTGTCTAGACTGATTTTCTTTTTATCAGATCCCACAATTGAGCACGGAAGAATTCTCAGGCGGGAGGAATATCTTAAAGATTTCAACCTGGAAGTCTCTGAGAAAAGGAAAAAGAAAAATCATGTGATTAATCTTGTTTTCATTTGTTTTTAAGCCAGACTTTTTGGCTTCAAATTAATACTGATTAGATAACAAAATCATATTTTATTGTTATAATAATAGTTGTACGTTTTGCTATTCTATTTCAGGACTCAGAAGTCTACTAAGTAAACAGGAAACTGGGACCGAATTCAGTCAAGAACTTAGACAGCTCGTTGGCCTTTTAAGCCCAACGGTCTGTCAGGAAGTAGAAGAGCAGGTATTAAGTTACAGAAAAAAAAAAAAAATTGCATGATATTTGCTGACTGTATTAAACCTTAGTTTTCCTTAAATGTTCCTCACTTTCTTTCTCTTAAGACTTCAAGCAAAATACTCCCAAAATAGAAATATCTTTAAAATTTTTACTCAGGAGGTTGAGGCAGGAGGATCGCTTGAGTCCAGGAATTGGAGACTGCCCTATGATCACACCCATGAATAGCCACTGCACCCCAGCCTGGTCAACATACCAAAACCCCATCTTTAAAATATAATGTTACAAAATTGTATCTCTCCGCCTTCAACCTGCTGAAAAACATAATTTCAATCTCCCATTTTCATCTGTTTATAGATACTGCCACATCAGTTTCACTCAACATTTTTCATGAAAGCCCCATCTCTAATGTTTATCTTATTTTATCTATAAGCTATTTAAAATTTTAAAATTGTTTTTCCAAAAAAATCTCTAATGGTAGCAAACTGTATTTATGGTCACCTATGGCTACCCTTCTTGTTCTTTGAGATACAACAATAACACCTTTTCCTTTGTGTAAGAAATGGTCTTAATAAAAATTATTTAGAAATTTGAGGCAGCAGGTTATTGATTATTTCATCATACTTCCTCTAGTATACTCAAAATGATGGCTCTAAATAGCCCATTCCAACAGGAAGAGGCATATAGCTTTCTGATTTCCAGATAAAGACTTAAATATGGAAAACATCTAAAATGACTAAAGATATTTTTTAATTTAAAAGGAAAAGGGGACATTGTGTATCTAAAATCCAAAACCAAAAAGGCAATAAATTTAAAAATACAAGCAGAAACCATGAAAAGAAGTCCAGTAAGGCAGGAGAATGGGTTGGGGGAGGCTGGAAGGAAGAATGCAGAAGAAGGGAATTTCTTTTTTCTGTATATATGAACCATCATGAGTTTAGATTAATCTCAGAACTATGCATGTGCTCAAATTCATATTGATTAGGAAACAAAATCATAGAAATCACATTTTATTATTAATAGCTGTACCCTTTTTCATTCCATGTGAGGACTCAGAAGTCTACTAAGTAAACAGGAGACTGTGACAGAATTCAGTCAAGAACTCAGACAGCTCACTGACCTTTTAAGCCCAATGGTCCATCAGGAGAATAGCATACCAAAAGCTTACAGAACTAGACAGAGATTCAAGCAACCATCCACAATGGTCAACAGAGCTTATAGTTTGAACCTAACTAGGTTGACTGCTTATTAAATAAAAACATTAACATGGTAGCTCAAAAAAGATTATGAAAGGTCAGGCGGACTATAAAATCTTTGAAAAAGAAATGGAAGTGAGATTATCCAGGGAGAATTTGGAGCTAACTAGACTATATCTTGAGTATGTTCTAGAAATTGCCTTATCGAGCCTAACATACCTCCTTTGGGAGGTAAGGTTTAATATCTCTACCCATCTTGTTAGAGCTAGAGATTAATACTTGCCCTGGCCTGATACTTTAAGAGGTATTTTTTTTTAAGACCTTCCTAGAGATATCTCTAAGTTGTTTTTGGCATTTAATTTCAGAAACTACATCAAGCAGCATGCTTAATTCAAGCCTATTGGAAGGGTTTTCAGACAAGGAAGAGATTAAAGAAGCTTCCATCTGCTGTGATTGCTTTGCAGAGGAGTTTCAGGTAAAACATTTTGGTAAGGGGATTGATGATCAGAGAATCTTACTAGAGTACAGTTGAATTGAAATTTAGGTGATTTTTTAAAAATTTCCTAGTATGTTTATTGTTATCTTTTCGTTCTTTTTCTGTACATTTCTGGGTACCAACACTCCAGTAACCAGATGCACTTTCAAAGCAAAGGACATAAGACAGGAATCTGATGTGTTAAATATACAATCCTATCCACTTAAGATATTTGGGGAGGGGACAAGCCTACAAAGGAAGCCAACGATAGTTATATTATTAAACCCTCAAAACCAACAGTTATCATGATTGTGTGTATATAATTACAACAATAACATGTATGCATATAAGAGTTTAAGCCTGTTAACCTGATTTTCCTGAAAAAATATGGCCTGGATGGATATCTTCATTGAATTATGATATAGTTTGGCATTTATTTCAAGTAGACTGAAAAGGAAATACTGAAGACATAGCCCACTTTCTGAAATGACTAACCAATCCAGATTCTCCGAGGTCACAGAACAAGAAAAAGTAACTTAGCTGCTAGGTAATTTATGATAAAGAAGAACTGTTTCAGAGGTGACTTTTTCATGCAGCCTAACTTACAGCCAAGCTTTAGTTCATTAAAATGAAACTGGCATTTTACAGAAGTTAGTTTTTTAAAGAAAACTGAAACTATTCTTTTAATAACTGCAGATACATTTCTCAGTTATAAAAACATTTAAAAATAGCTCTGGGGTTCAAAATACTATGTAGTCACAGAGTTGAAGACATTGAAATCACTCTAGCTAACTGTGTCTCTTAGTGGGTATCCTATTAATTGATGAACGTTTTCTTCAGGGAAGAATTCAAGATGGATTTAAAATATTATTGGGTGTGAATATTATTGGTAGCAAAGAAAAGAATTAATGTTTAAATACATATCAAGTGCCTAGTATATGCCAGGGGATCCATCCCCTGGCAGTTTAACAGATTCGAGTTTGTATCTCATTTCAGCAACTTACTGGTTGAGTGAACTTGGACAATGCCCCACCTCTCTCAGCCTCAAACTTCCAATCTATAAAACGAGAATAATAGTTTATACACTTGTATGATCAAGATAATGTAAAATTTGAGATAATACAAAGTTTTTAGCATATTTTCTGGCACTTAGAAAATGATAGGAGGAAAAATGCATATGGCACATTTTCTGTCCTTGAAAATTTACAAATCTAGCTAGACAAATAGATGCGTTAAATAGATAATACTGAGAGGCAAGTGTTATCGATCTATTATTACTCAAAGTTTATTGCCTATCTTACAAACTGTTTTTTTTTTTTAAAAAAAAAAGCATTTCTGTGATTAGATAAATCTGGGAAATATTGAGTACTTTTTGAGTCACAGTATATATTTTTCTACCCAAAGAATCTGAGGTGCTCTTGGTATTGCCTTTGGTGGTGAATTCAGATAGAGTAAGTATTACTTATGGGTTCTACCTGCTGTCATCCTTAGTTATCGGGCATCTTAAATTTAAAGGCACTCTTATACATGGATTCAGAGCATTAATGTTTAGTCCCACAATAGTTGCCAAATTTGCTCATATACTCTCTCTTTCAATATTAAAATCTCTATTTAAAAGTAGCCCAGGATTACAGATTTTTTCCCACTTCTAAGTGGAAAAATTCTATGGAATCTAATATTCCATTATTTTAAAATAGAAATTCCATTGCTTTCTTTATGTGACCAGAAGAGTTATAAATATTTCCATTAAAAAAGATAAACGGTGAAGCAAAAATTATTTAAGTCTCACATTTTGTGTTTGTTACCTTTCCAGTATTTTTGCATTTGAGGTTCCAGAATATACTGAAATGCAGTTCTAACCTGTTGGATTCTATTTAATTTTTTAATTTTCAGTTTGCTCCAGTTCAGCACCTTCCCTCTTCTATTAGTTGTTACAGTTCATGCAAATGTCTCTTGCTTCCTTTGTAGCTTGGTTTTTTTTAAAGGTTATTTCTGTCTTTTTGTGCTCAGGTCTTATCTCAGTAATTTCCCCCTCCCATGGTTTTGGGAGAGGGACTGCCCACCAGTCACACTTATGGGTTCAGATTGATTAGTGTTCTTTAGATTCAGCAAGAGGCATTCTTTTATAGTCACACCCTTGCTAACGCACTTTCATAGTGGTTTCTTTTTTATTTAGTCATTTCTCATATTCAGAAACTTTATTGTCTCTTAAGTACTCTTCTTCAGCAAAGTTTTCTGAAGCAGCTAACAGCTGCTCTAGTTCTCTTAGAGAAACCTTACAATTTACCTACCTCTATCATAGTGCTGATTTTTAAGTGTTTTAATTACATTTGTTGATTTCACCTTGAAACTGAGCTTCTTAAATGCAGAATAGTATCTTTTTTCTCTCCCTCGGAGGCACAGTGTCTTGGCAGCAGAAAGTTTGGTCAACTCCCACTTTAATGATAAAAATTCAGACTGATTAAATGTAAATCATGGAATTTACTTGTTTTCAGAATATGACATCTGATCAGTCATTTTATTTTCAGAAGTGTAATACAGAGGCCAGGTGGTCCAGTGCCTACTAATTCTTACAAAGAAACCAGTTGGAAGAATAATTGTTTGATTTTTGAGTGATTATAGAAACTCTGAACAAAATAACTAGATGTTATTTAATAATAAATGGGGGAATTACATTCAAAATCACATCAGTTCCTAATGTTTTCAAACATGAAAGTAAAACATGAATCCAGTAAGCACATCTGTTTACAATTTAGTCCCTATTTAAATCACCAAACCTCACTTTTGTCCTGTCTTTCTGGTTTGTACTTTACTTCCACCTTCATGCTCCATAGTCTTTTCATTTTTGCCATATTTCATAGCCTACATACCTCAATTGTTTCCCAAACCCGGTTTTCTGACAGATTAAATATTCTAACAGATGTAATTTTAATGATTACTATGTTTTTCATACTAATAGTATGAAATGATATTTAAAATATTGATGATGCAGTATTAAACACTAGAATTTATAGTCAATTAGAAGTTAGAAACAGAGGTAGTTTTTTGTTGTTGTTGTTTTCAGGTGGAGTCACACTCTGTCACTCAGGCTGGAGTGCAGTGGCACGATCTCGGCTCACTGCAACCTCCACCTCCCGGGTTCAGGCTCCTGCCTCACCTCCCAACTAGCTGAGACTATAAGTAGGCACCACCACAGCTGGCTAATTTTTGTATTTTTAGTAGAAATGGGGTTTCACCATATTGGCCAGGCTGGTCTCGAACTCTTGACCTCAGGTGATCCACCCACCTTGGCCTCCCAAAGTGCTGGGATTACAGGTGTTAGCCAGTGCACCGAGCCACAGAGTTAGTTTTTTAAAAACCAGTTTAAAAGGAGGCTGTGTTTAGTGCCTGCTCTCTTTTACCCTCTATGAATGGGTAAAAGATAAAACATTATTATCTGCATGCTGTAAAACCCAGAAGTTTTGAGGCGAAGGAGTTCTGTAGAACAGGCAAGATGCCATCAGCTATTCTTTGGGAAGGGAGAGGCCCTTACCTGCTTCATTTCCAGCTTTCACAAAGAGCAAGAGACACTTAGAACTATTCAACTAGCCCTAGATCTTCTCTAGAACCTTTTGACACACATACACTTTTGAGGTCTTCTCTGTCTTCCATAAGAGAGATAAGAAAGAAGTTTCAAAACAAATTCTCTACTGTGTCCTAAGTAGAAAGCTAGAGAAAATTTAAGTTGTAATTGATGGAAGAATTTATGAGAAACAACCACAGGCACACAACATTTTATCAAAACAATTTAATCAAAATAAACTATTTTGAGTTGAAAATTCAGTTGAAAAATCATAATAATCCTCTCTAATTATACTATAATGATGTCTGGCTATTAAGAGTACAAAGCTATAGCCAAGGTACCACATTTGTTTACAGTTTAATTCTAAGAATACAGTTTAAAAAAAAGATCTAAGAGAAAATGTTCTTGGGAGAGACACATGTCAAATTAAGCCTATAGAGGTAAACTAGTTTATTCTGTCTCTCTTCTTATCCTCGTTTTCTTTTTCTGTGGGTATCTGAAAGCATTTTGAGTATATTTACTGTAAACTGACACTTGTAGTCTCCTTACATAGTGATATTGGAAGCAACAAAAACTAGATGGGAATGGCTAAGGAGAAATTTTGGTGAATAAAAGGAGGTAATACAGAAATGATAATTATATAAAATGTGGCCACATGAAGGTTTTCATAACCAGTTTTAAAAGTAATGTTCAGTTATCAATAATTGAGAAATAGGCATAAGAAGAAAATAAAAATCAACTGTAATCACATCATGCAGTAAAAATCACTTGAAATTTTAATGTTTTTTATTTAATTTTCTGTGTAAGTAAATGTAAATTTTTTGACACAATTTTGATCTCATCCTTCTATATCCTGATTTTACTTTTACCTGACATTAGATCATTGATATATTCTCATGTCACTAAATATTCTTCGAACATTTTATTTTTTCATAGTTCATATAATCCCATCCCATCAGGTGAATGAACCAGTATCTATTTATCCAACTTGCTGTTGTGAGACAAAGTTTGTTTTCAACTTGTTACTGTTGTAATACTGTGGAGAACATTTTTGAACAGAAGTTTTTACATATATATCTGATTATTTCCTCAAGGATATTATTTGTAATGGAACTAATTGGTTATCACTTTTAAGGCTTTTTATTTATATATTTCAAATATTTTCCCAGACTTTTAATGCATATATTCAAATATTTCTCCAGAAAGGTTGCACAACAGCCGCAGATGACAGGCTATTTTATCATACCTTATTAACACTAGAAATTACCTTAAAATTTTTTCTGTTTACATTTATTTGATTACCAGGGAGGTTATGCATTTTTCATATGATTTATGAAAATTATGTATAACACACTGTTTCCATCACAGATCTAAACGAATAAAGATGTTGCTGGAGATAAATAGGCAGAAGGAAGAGGAGGACCTCAAATTACGATTGCAGCTTCAAAGACAGAGAGCCATGAGACTTTCTCGAGAATTGCGACTGAGTATGCTCGAAATAGTTCATCCAGGTGAGTGGCAGTATCAACTTTATAAACATAAGAATATTTAGGTTATCTTTTAACAAACCAAGTTTTCTAGCTACATGATGATTTTTTAAAAATTTGGACTTTTGCCCTTTTTCTCTGTTTTTTAGATAAACTTTATTAAATCTTCTGAGTTTAAAAATGGTTACTATTTTTTTGATTCAGACCTATTCGTTGATGATGAACAATCTGCCCACCAGTTTTTTTTTTCTTATCCTTCAGATAGTTTAGTGAAACATAAAAATTTATGCATAAAGATAGCTGTTAGAGACACAAAGATACTTCTTGAACTGAAATAAGGAGTTGGAATATTATCACATTCTGCCATCAGAACTTAACTCATTCCTTAGTACAAATCTTGTGACATCTTCTTTCCACCTTTGACAGACTAAGCTGAAATTAATAATAAGGTGTGGTCTGAGAGGTCTTAGTGGTTTCAATATTATCTTCAAGTTCTTTTACCTGTCGTCTTGTTATTCAATCCAGGGTCCTTCACTAGCCTTTTATTTCACTTCATCTCCATTAAATATAGATGTTTTCTAGGATTCTATCCTCACCTTATTCCTGTCATTTTGCTCTTCCTGGGGTATCCATCCATAACTACAGCTCAACTCTCAACTGAGTGCTGAGCAGTCTCAAATCTGGTCTCTGTCTTCACCTACTCTCCTAAGCTCTTAGAGGAGAATTGCCCAATAGAAATTTTTACAAAAATGAAAGGTTGTATATCTGTACCATCCAGTAGGGTAGCCAGTGGCTAGAGATGGCTACTGAGTATTTGAAATGTGGCTAGTGTACTGAAGTACCTGAGTTTTAATTTTACTTTATTTTAACCCAAGTAGCCACTTGTGGATAATGTCTACTCTATTGAATAACACACCTCTGTACCCAACTGCCTATTGGATCCGGCTTTACCTGGATATCCACAGGCAACCCAAACACCAAAGTCATTATCTTACCCCTCAGATTTCCTTTTCCTTTATTCCCCATCTCAGGTAATGGCACCAGTAACTTACTCAGTTTCCCATTTGAGACATCCTAGAGTCCTTTCCCTCTTTTACCTCTATATCCAATTGATCATTAAATTATATCAGTTTCTTATACTCCCCCAAATACACTCCCCTTTTTATTAACAATTCTACTACTTTATTCTGTCATGTATGTACTGTGAACCCTGGATTGTATACTGAGCAACTCCAAGAAAGCAAAAAGAAAGTCATCTATATAACTGACTGAGTGACTTAAGAGAAATTTGGAAGCATGTAGAGAGAACACATACATACATTTTGCCCTTTCCCTCTGATGGTACTGAATGACTTCTTAATCGTGTGCTTAGGATTCTTGGTTTTTTGGGGTTTTTTAAATGTTTTTAATGTTGGATTTTCAGCGATTTTCTTATTACTCTACCACAAAAATATCATATGAGTTCTTTCTCTAAAGAAGCTGCATAATCTGGGAAAGCTTTGTTTCTAAAATCTTAGAACCATGGTAAAATAATAGAATTGGGAAAATTAGTGAACAGTATTGGCAAAAATAGAAAGAAAGCAAGATTATTATTATCATTGTCCTGATTCCAGAACTTAAGAAAGCATGGCAGTGAGTATGTTGTAATAGTGTCTATCATCTTTTTAGGTCAGGTGGAGAAACACTATCGGGAAATGGAAGAGAAATCAGCATTGATTATCCAGAAACATTGGAGAGGGTACAGGGAAAGGAAAAATTTTCACCAACAGAGGCAGTCTCTCACAGAGTATAAAGCAGCTGTCACACTTCAAAGAGCAGTGAGTCTAATGTAGTGAAAAGAGCTCTGAATCAAGAGGCAAAAGCATGAGTTCAAACCTGACTTTGCTAATTACCTGTTGTAAAGCCTTAATCAAGACACTTAGTTTTCTTGAGCCTTAGTTTTTTCTTTTGTAAAAGAAAACCTCCTTACCTCTGGCCAAGCTGGTTTAGACACTCAGTCCTTAGTACTACCTTAGAACCTTGTACATCATTTACTATACTACAATGTTGTTTTGTTAATTATTTCCCTTCTTACTTGGGCTGTGAGTTCTTCAGGAATAAGGAGCTAAGTCTTATTGTTGTCAGCTCATCACATGTGCTTGATGTGTGAGTAGATGTTTACCCTTACCCTTTTCACTCAGTTGTTATGTGGATCAGTTACCCTAATTCATGGGAATGTATTTTGTAAATTACAAAGTTCTCTGCAAGTGCAGCATGTGATATTTGATTTTTTTAATGCACAGATATTAGGTATATTTAGATCATTATAACATTTTAATTGTAGAATTTTATATATATATATATATTTTTTTTTTTTTTTGGAAACGAATTCTTGCTCTGTTGCAAGGCTGAAGTGCAATGGCGCGATCTTGGCTCACTACAACCCCCACCTCCCAGGTTCAAGCAATTCTCCTGACTCAGCCTCCTGAGTAGCTGGGACTACAGGCACTCACCACCACGCCCATCTGATTTTTGTATTTTTAGTAGAGACTGGGTTTCACCATATTGGCCAGGATGGTCTCGATCTCTTGACCTCGTGAGCTGCCTACCTTGGCCTCCAAAAGTGCTGGGATTACAGGCATGAGTCACCACGCCCAGCCTCGTGTTCTTAAATAGCAATCTTTCTGTGATCTCTCTAGAGCATAGTACTATTTTGTTGCCTTGGAAAAGCATAGCACAAGGTGGTTTTTAAAATTTAATGACCAGTTTTCCTAACATCCACTTATTGTCTTATACATAGTTAACTTTCATATTAGGATTTCAGGTCCTATAGCATTTAGCTTAACAATCCGTTATTGAATTTTTAGGTGAATTTCAGTTTTCTACTGTGATAGATTTTGAACAGTCTCTGTGATTAACTTTTTACAAAGTTTTTTTTTTTTTTTAAATCATCCAAAAACATAGTAGAATAAATGCTAGAGAAATAGGAAGAGATGCCTGCCTCCTACTCCTTCAGGCTCTTCTGGGGATCTCAGGTTGTATCTGCAACAAACAGTCCTGCACTATCACTGAATCACACATACTCCTGATATTTACCTTCTGCTAAACAAAGTCATCTAAGGATTAACCATTTGATATCAGGGTTGGAGACACTTCCTTTGGAGGAACTTTTGGCTTCTTTCTAACACTTTTAACTCATAAATACCTCCTTTTTAAAGTCTTCCCTGTCATAGAATTAGGTGGGCCCTTATTAAGTTGACTTACTACCTTGCCTGATTTAGATGACCCTAAATACTTTGTAAAAGGATCCTCTACTATAAAGTGAAATATCCTGGTTTGCCTACCATTTCTTAGAGAAAGAAGTAGGGGTCATTATAAGAATGTATCTGAAGGCTATGAAGGCAAAGTTGTTTTGGCTTTTATACTTTCCAGTGGCACAAAAGGAAGATTAGTCGCATTTGCCTCATATCTGCTAAAAAAAAAAGGTAATTGAGTCTCTGTTTAAGAGCAAAAAGGGATGGGTCGAGGTCATGTTTATAGTCTTTGCATCTCATTAATAAAAAAAAGGTAATTGAGTCTCTGTTTAAGAGCAAAAAGGGATGGGTCAAAGTCATGTTTATAGTCTTTGCATCTCATTAATAAAAATAAGATGAAGTCAAAGTGAAGTTAGCCAAAATGGAAAAGGAAATAAGAGGATTACTTTTTTTTTTTTTTTTTTAAAGAAACGTGGTCTCACTCTGTCACCCAGGTACAGTGGTGTGTTCACAGTGCATCACAGCCTTGAATTCCTGGGCTAAAGTGACCCTCCTGCCTCAGCCTCCCTAAGTGCTGAGATTATAGGTGTGAGCCACCATGCCTGGCCAAGAATTACTTTCAAAGAAGGAAAAGAGAAAGAAAAATGGGAAAGTACACTGAGAAAAGAAATAGAAAAATAGAGAAAAGTATAACAAGGCAATAGTCAATAAAGGATACATTTTGCCATATTTTTAAAGCATCCTTTCTTTTTTTTTTTGAGAGAGAATCTCTCTCTGTCTCCCAGGCTGGAGTGCAGTGGTACAATCATAGCCCACTGCAGCCTTGATCTGCGAGGCTCAAGAGATCCTCCCGCCTCAGCCTCCACAGTAGCTGGGACTACAGGCTTGCACCACCAGGCCCAGCTAATTTTTTTTTTTTTCAGTAGAGACTAAGTCTCACTTTGTTGCCCAGGGTAGTCTCCAACTCCTGAGCTCAAGTGATCCTCCCGCTGCAGCCTTCCAAAGTGCTGGAATTACAGGTGTGAGCCACTGTGCCTGGCCTAAGGTATCCTTTTCTAAGACACGCTAGAGACCTGCACTGTTCAATAAAATAATCATTAAGCATACGTAGCTGGCTATGAAGAACTTGACATGTAGCTAGTCCAAATTGAAATGTGTCGTAAGTGTAAAATACCCACCAGATTTTGAAAACATAGCATGAAAAAAAGTGTAAAGTATCTCATTAATACTTTTTTATATTGATTACATGATGAAATACTAATATTTTGTGTATACAGAGTTATATGTTTTATATAACTCAGTAAATATTGTTTTGCCCATTTTTTATTTTCTTAATGTGACTACTAGAAAATTTGAAATTACTTATATGACTCACATTATACTTCTGTTGGCACTGCTACTGACCTTGCTAAGAAAAAAATGGGAAATAATTCATTAGCCTCATTGAAAGTAATATACCAGCCTGGGCAATGTGGCAAAACCTCACCTCTAATAAAAATACAAAAATTAGCCAGGCATGGTAGCACGTACTGGTAGTCCCAGCTACTTGGGAAACTGAAGTGGGGAAAATCACCTGAGCCTGGGAAGTTGAGGCTGCAGTGAGCTGTGATCACACCACTGCACTCCAGCCTGGACAATACGAATGAGATCCAGCCTGGAAAAAAAAAAAAAAAAAGTAACATAAAGGAGTATAAAGGAGTAGGAATATCCTTTCAATGAACTCATCCCTCAGGAAGAACCGGTTATTAGTGTCCTCGGCAGGAAAAGAAAGGCCAGAACGGTTATCCACCTTCTGTTCTTCTCTTACTTGATGCAAAAACAGAGGCGTTGTTTCTCCAGTGGCTAAAAATTGAGGAAATTTGCTAAAAGAGAAAAATAAATGAAAGGGGAGAATAGAAGGAAAGAAGAGAGTCTCAACAGAAGGATGCAAGCACAGTTGAAAACTCAAGTACCATACTGAAAACAAGGCCGGGCACGGTGACTCACGCCTGTAAATCCCAGCACTTTGGGAGGCTAAGGCAGGAGGATCACTTGAGCCCAGGAGTTTGAGACCAGCCTAGGAAATATAATAAGACTCTTTCTCTACAAAAAATTAACTGGGCTTGGTGGCGCACACCTGTAGTCCCGGCTACTCAGGAAGCTGAAGTGGGACGATCACTTGAGCCCAGGAGTTTGAGGCTGCTGTGAGCCATAATCAAGCCACTGCACTCCAGCCAGGGTGACAGTGTGAGACCCTGTCTTAAAAAAAAATACCAAAAAAGTAAAGGGTACTAGGGAAATTTTCTAAACCGCTTTTTAGTGCCCACTCTTAAATATCAACTAAAGGATAATTATCACTGAATATCTAAGGAAAGCCAAAGACAAAACAAATGGAATAAAACTACTTGATAGAATATAAACATTGCAGGTATAAGGAAAAAATGTTTTTAATCTGTTATTAATATCCTCAGAGAGATAAGGAAACATAATATATGAAACAAAACCAAGATACCATATAAAAGGGAACACACAGAATAAAATTCCACAGGGAAAACTGAAAGACTAATAAAAGGATTGTGGGAAAAAAGTTAAAGAAATCTCACAGAAAGCAAGGAAAAAAGATTTTGCCAGAGGCACACATCTGCAATCCCAGCTACTCAGAAGGCTAAGGCAGCAGGATGGCATTAGCTCAGGAGTTCTAGGCCAGCCTGGTCAACATATGAAATATCATTAGAAAAAGAAAAAAAGGTAGAATCTTTAATTTTAAAAAAAGAAAAAAAAGATGGATAGAAAACACTGCCAGTCTAGGAGGTCAAACAGCCAAACATTTGAAATCAAGAACAAGAAAAAACAGAAGAGAAAAAGTCAAATAACTGAAGATTTCCCAGAACTGAATGTCACGAATTTTAGATTAAGGGGACCAGTTAAGTGTCCAATACAGTGACAGAAACACTTCCACATTTGTTTCATAATACTGTGAGATGTACTAGGAACAAAAGGACTTCTTGACAGCAACATTGGAAGCTAAAAAGTATTGAAGTGAGACTGTCACATATTTGAAGGAAAATGATTTCCAACTAGAATTCTATACCCAACCAAATTATTAATTAAAGATAAGGACAGACCAAAGACATTTTTAGATAAGAGGGAATAACCTGAGAAAGAAGGCAACATGGAATCCAAGAAACACACGGGAAAGATAAAAAGTAGTCACCGAGATGATGGTGAATGGAGACCACAGGATGACAGCTATGCCCAAGGTATAGAGAGCAGGTCAGGAAGCTCCAGAAAGTGTGTCCAAGAAAATGAATTTGATAGAATGCCTGATGTATTTTAATGTGTTGAAAAGTAGGGCAGAGTTTAAAAATATAATCGGTAGTATGGAAAACAAAGCATGGGAGAAAAGAGAATTAATAATTCCAGAGAAAATAAAAATGTGCAAGGAAGGAAAAGTAATTATAGTATACTATATTGTTCAAAAGTGAATAGCCTTTATGTGGTCATAATTTTACAAACATTGAACATTAATTTAACTAAAATTATGATATAATAATATAGGATGGATGGGGAGTAGAAGCAAGTGAAAGAGAGCTAAATTCATACCTTTCATACAAGAAAATCAATAGGTAATACCTATATCTGAAAAAAAAAAAATCACAGAAAAATAGGCGGAGCTAAATGTCAAAAGAATAAACTGAATTAAATTGTTGCCCTTGAGTCAGGGGACAGGGTAAATGGGTAACTCTAGTAAGAATTCTAGTAATTCTTATGAAGCTGACAAATTAAACAATAGCATTCTAGTAATTCTTACAAAACTGACACATTAAACAATAGAGTTATATCAGCAAACTTTTCTGGGAAGCGCTATATAATAAAATATTTTAAGCTTTGCAGGTCATGCAGTGTGTCACATGTATTCAGTTATAGCACAAAAGCAGCCACAGCCAATAGTAAACAAATGAGCATGTCTGTGTTCCAGTAAAATGTTATTTGTAGAGGTGAGGTACGATGACTCCCGTCTGTAATCTCAGCACTTTGGGAGGGCGAGTCAGGTGGATCACAAGGTCAAGAGATCGAGACCAGCCTGGCTAACATGGTGAAACCCCATCTCTACTAAAAAATACAAAAATTAGCCGGGTGCGGTGGTGCACGCCTGTCATCCCAGCTACTCTGGGTTGAGGCAGGGGAATTGCTTGAACCTGGGGGGGTTGAAGGTTGCAGTGAGCTGAGATTGTGCCACTGCACTCCAGCCTGGTGACAGTGTGAGACTCTATCTCAAAAAAAAAAGTTATTTGTAAACATTAGATTTGAATTTCATATAATTTTACATGCCACTAAATATTCTTTACATTTTCAATGTAAAATGAAAAAACAAAACAAAACAAAAACACGAAAACAAAACCACACACACATTTTTAGCTCTCAAGCCCTATGAAAACAGGCAGCAGGCTAGATTTGGCCTGTGGGCAATGATTTGCTGAACCTTGCTTTAAATAATGGGAACATGTAACTTTGATGAAAATAAAAACAACAAAGACACAAGAAGAGTGAAAACAATTGGGAAGAATAATTGAAAATTTGTCCCATATCATACCTATTACAAAATTTCTTTTTACCAGAGTCCATTCTGAAGGACATGGGAAATAATTCAGACAGAAATATACTGTCTCCTAGGTGTTTACAATCCTGTAGGCTGTGTAGAATTAAGGCCCCTTTTTTCTATAGACATAGAATCTGTCCTCTAGGGATCAAGTGACTTGTCCAGAATCATAGTTTATAAGGGACTAGAATTGAGACTAGAATCTATTGCTTTTTTCCTCTTCATTGCTTACTGCACAAATAATACGTGACTATATCCTTGTAAAAAGCACTGCAGAAGACTGTGTATTTTCAAAATCACTATTCTCCTGCGTCTTGTCACAGTCCCATTCCCCTCCTTATACACACTCAGAGTTAATCAATATTGCAATGTGGTCACTACCATATGTTGTAGTGAGAAAATAGTTCTATTAGTTAGGGGAGAAAAATCACAAACCTTCAATTTTTTTTTCCTCCAGGCACTTAAATTCCTAGCAAAGTGCCATAAGAAAAAGAAACTATTTGCTTCTTGGCGAGGACTCCAAGAACTCACTGATGCACGCCGAGTTGAACTGAAGCAACAAGTGGATGACTATGTCAGAAGACATTTGGTATGTAGGCTTCTGTGCCATATCAGTATTACATTATTCCAGTGCATGATATTGATCAACAAAACAGTGTCTCTCATATATATAGATATGTGTGTGTGTGTGTGTGTGTGTGTATACATTTATTGCTGGTATAAGGTAATGCATTGGCTTTTCCATAGAAGTAATGGTATATCTTTTTATAGTTACATAGCCATAGAGGTATAGTCAGTGGTGAAGGAGACTCTGCTTTAAATCAGTTTTTTCCCATACTACGTCAATAAGACTTGTTCATTGCTTCTTTTGCAATATACAGTAAAACTCGAACTATTTTGAACCTTCCAGAAAGAGTATATGTAATTGTCAATCAATGATTATTCATTCTTACATTTGTTAGACTACTAATGTACCTCCAGAAGCCAATAAGATATAGCATTTGACTATTTGCCTCTTATGATCTTACCACAAATATACTGCTAGCGCCTTTATCCCAACAGAAATGTCCATGTCTTTGACTTTCTATGACCATAGTATTGCAGGTCACGTGTTATTCACTTCTCCCACCTGAATTCTTGACCATCTACTCCTGTGTGTCTTCAAAGGTCATTTCCCTTTCTGCCTTGGAAGTAACTCACCACTCCTGTCATTAATTTTAATCACCTGCACCTTTGCTGATTACCTCTACTTTCTTTACTCTTACAGTTTCTCCCATGCTTTCACACTTCTGTAATTTTATGGACAAAGTTGGCAGTTTATACATTTCAATCTATCAGAATTATTCCCTCATTTGAACCAACCACTCATAGTGTATCTTGGTGCTTTTCATGAGTTTTGTTGTGATTGTGGTGGTGGTGTTTGTGCCTGAGTTCATTCTCTCTCTCTCACACACACATACATACACACACACACAGATACACACACACACTTCTCAAATTTGAAGGTTCTGGATAACTGATGTTAGAAGTTTGATGTGATATTTAGGCAGTCCTGTCATTCACCCTTTCATTCCTCCAGAGCGCCCAAAATGAAAGGACTTTTTGTAACAAACAAAAACCACTATACAAATGGAAATGAAGTGCAAATATATTAGTAGCTGAGCATGTATCTGGTAATCACTGGAACACAGCAATGGTAAAACCTGAATTGGATAGCATAGCTTAGTCCAAGAAGTGTAAGTAAGCCCTCTTACTTTCCCCTCCTGCTAATCTGGATTGAGGGACCCAAAACCTAATGGAGTCTGTGGAGAAAGAGAGGAGGAAAAAACCACCCTTCTATGTCAGGCCCTCTGTGATTACCATAAAGAGGTAGACAGTGGAAAAAGTCCTGACATTTGTTTCTGGCCAAGATGGAGTAACAGGGACTAGATTTACTTCCTGCCTGAAACAACCAGAAAAAGAAACAAACAAACAGATAAAAATGTATGAGAAAATCGTTTTCAAGACCCTGGACATCAGACAACAAAGAACAATAATTTCTGGGAGGGAACAAAGCGAGCCCTATAATTACCCCAGCTTACTGCCTTGAAAGAGTTTTTAGGCCATAGCTCAAGGAAGAGAAGAGCTCTTTAGAATCCTTGAGTTAAGGAGATGGCACTGAGAGTCTGGTGACACCAAGGGAGCTAGACTTCATAGAACAGAGTACCAGAGCAAAGAGAGCTGCAAAGAGAGAGAACCCCAGATATCTACAGAATCTACCCCTTGAGTATTCTCCAGAATACTAATCAGCATGTACATGTGAGGAAATTATCTAAAGCCAAATTTTCCAAACAGTCATCTGAAAAGGTAAGACGGAAGTGTGTCTGGAACTCACATAGGTCCAGGAATAGTGCCTGTTCCCATCAAATACGCTGGAGAAACTCATAATTCACAGGGTATTGTGAAGCGTACTCAGGAAGACCTTCCCTTAATAGTAGATTATGATTAGCCTAGACAGCTCCATTCTGCCAAACAAATTATAAAATCAAGAGTCAAAAAAAGATTAAAATGTTTTCATGTAATTTAACAGCATTCCAAAAAAAGACTCAAAATTTTAAGAAATGTCAAAATATCCAGCACCCAACAAGGTAAAAGTCACAATGTCTAGCAGCTAATCAAATATTAAAGGCATGCATGGAAGTAGGAAAATAGGACCCATAATGGGAAGGATATTCAATCAAACCAACCCAGAAATTACATAGATGTTAAAATTGGCAGAGAAGGGCATTAAAACAGTCATTATAACTGTATTCTATATGTTCAAAAAGTCAAGTAGAAATATGGAAAATATTTTTTAAATACCTGAATCAAACTCCTAGAGATAAAAACTTCAAAGTATGGTGTGAAAAATATACTTGATCAAATTAATAGCAGATTAGACTTTGCTGGATGGAAGTCTAATAATAAATTAATAATAAAGGTGAAGCCATAGTAGTAGATACTGCACAAAATGAGTCACAGAGAGGGAAAAAAGAGAAAAATATTTGAAAAGACCATTACTGAGCTGTGGGACTGTAAGTGACCCAATAAATGAAAAATTGGAATCCCTGAAGGAAATGTAGAGAAAAATAATGGCTGAAAACTTTCCAAACTAAAAATGATAAGCCCATACCCAAACCAGTTAAGGCACAAGTACATGGAAAAAACTGTGCCAAGGAATATCATAATCAAAATTGTCAAACCAGTGATACGTGAAAATCTTAAAAACCAAAAAAATTTTTAATGTTATATAAAGACAAAAATTACATTGCTCAGTAGGAACAGTGCAAGCAAGAAGATACCTTGCTTTAAAGTACTGAAAGGAAAAAAAGTTGTCCAACCTAGAATTCTGTACCTGGCAAAAAAAATTGTTAAAAAAAAAGCTTTTTCAGACATACAAAAGCTGAAAGACTTGATCACCAGTACACTTGCACTACCAAAAAAGAATTTAACATTCCAGAAATGTTATAAAAAATGTTAAATTCTTTTTATTCATATAGATTGAGGGAGTAAAAATGCACATTTACATGCTTATATTGCAAACTCCTCTCCAGCAAAATAAACAATCAACGGTAAACAGCCTATAGAATGGGAAAAAATAGTTGCAAGCTATACATCTAACAAAGGGCTAATATCTAGAATCTACAAGGAACTCAACTCAAGAAGAAAAAAACCCATTAAAAAGTGGGCAAAGCCGGATGCTGTGGCTCATGCCTATAATCTCAGCACTCTGGGATGCCAAGGCAGGAGGAATACTTGAGCCCAGGAATTCGAAACCAGCTTAGGCAACATGGTGAAACCTGGTCTCTACAAAAAATTTAAAAATTAGCCAGGCATGGTGGTGCCTGTCTGCGGTCCCAGCTACTTGAGAGGCTGAAGTGGGTTGATCATTTGAGCTCAGGAGGTTGAGGCTGCAGTGAGGCATGTTCATGCTACTGCACTCCAGCTCGGGCGGCCGAGAGAGACCCTGTCTCAAAAAAAAAAAAAAAAAAAAAGTGGGCAAGAAACATGAACAGACATACAAGTGGTCAACAAACAATGAAAAATGCTCAATATCACTAATCATCAGAGAAATGTGAATTAAAATCATAATAAATAACCATATTATACCAGTTAAAATGACTATTATTACAAAGTCAAAAACAACAGATGTTAGCAAAGATGTGGAGAAAAGGGAACACTTACACACTGTTGGTGGGAATGTAAATCAGAAATGTTAAGTTCTTTAAGGTGTAAAACACTTAACATTTCTGTTTAAAATGATGCCAGGAAAAGATACCAGAGAGAAATCTGGCTCTACATAAAGAAATTAAGAGCACTGGAAATGGTAATTACAGCCATGTGTCACATAATGAATTTTCAGTCAGTGTTGGTCCATATATACAACAGTGGTCACATAATATTGTAATGGCATATTTTTACTGGACATTTTCTATATTTTTATATGTTTACATATGCAAAAACTTACCTTTGCATTAAAATTGATTACAGTATTCAGTACAATAACATGCTGTACAGATTTGTAGCCTAAGAGCAATAGGGCATACCACATAGCCTACATAGGTAGTAGTCTATACCATTTAAGTTTGTGTAGGTACACTCGATGACAGGCGCACAGTGACAAAATCACCTAACAGCACATTTCTCTGAACCTATTCCTGTCGTTAAGCAAGGCATGACTGTACTTGGGTAAATATACAGTAGTCCCCCGTTAATCTCAGAAGATGCATTCCAAGACCCCCAATGGAAGACTAAAACTGCAGATAGTACCGAACCCTGTATATATCATGTTTTTTCCTATACATACATACTTATGATAAAGTTTAATTTATAAATTACACACAGTAAGAGATTAACAACCACAGTAATAAAGTAGAACAATTATCATAATATACTGTAATAAAAGTTATATGAATGTGGTCTCTCTGTCTCTCTCAAAATATCTTATTGTACTCTGCTGCAGGTAACTGAAACCACAGAAAGTGAAACCTTGGATAACTGGGGGATTGCTATACTATTGAAAGGTTCTTATACTATATATGAAGTGATACGTTATCATCTGAAGGTAGATTTATAAGTTAACCATGTATGGTATGAACCTTAAAGCAACCACTAAAATTTAAAAAACAAAGAGTTATAGCTAATGACTGATAATAAAATAGCTAATAAGTCTACAAAAGAGATGAAATTGAATCATAAAATATACTTGATCAAAAAAGGCAGGAAAAGAGGAAAAATAAAGTGATGGGACAAAAAGAAAGCAAGATGATAGACTCAAATGTGATTGTATCAGTAATTACAATAGCTAAAAATGCTCTGAACACCCCAATTAAAAAGCAGAGTAGCAGACTGAATAAAAAAGCCTGATTATATGTTGATTACAAGAAACATACTTTAAATATGAAAAAAGGTGGAACAAGTATAATGATAAAGGAATCAATTAAGAGGACATAAGAATTTTAAATGTTTATATATCTAATAACAGTGCTCCAAAATACATGTAGCCAACATGAATGAACCTTGATGACATGCTAACTGAAATAAGCCAGATACAAAAGGACAAATATTATC